CCGCGCTGCGCACTCCGCCTCCTCCGCGGGGGCCGCCCGAGCCAAAGATGGCGGCCACGGGGACTTCACTGCCCATAAGAAAGATGGAGTGACCCCCCCCCCAAGCAATATGGCGGCCTGCACATAAACACTCGGGACCACAGTCCCTCACTTATAATCAACCTTCTCCACAGAAGTAGAAGAAAGCCATGCCCGCTACTGACATGGCAACCAGCCTAGTATCATGTGACCATAATGAATAAGGGCTCGCCCTCAGGCCTAGCCCCTTCGGCACCGAGACTGGCAAAGATCCAACAGGCCAGCCTTTCCTGCTTCGGTTTGCCCAATTGCAATATGGCAGCCCGGAAGGATTTCTCCCGGCGGTGACTCGTGGTTTCGTCTGGGACCGCTTCGTTCCCGGGGACGCTGACGGGCTCAACCCGTTAACCCGAATCCCTCAGCGCCTGTTGCGATGCACAGCTTCTCTCACCTTCTTTTCCTCTCCCGGTTTCTCTTTCCCAGAACCTCGCTTCGTGCCCTGCGGAGGGTTGAGACCGCCCCGCACTAACATGGCCTCAGCGGACGGTCCTGGCCCGCGCCCTCAAGCAAAATGGCACCCCTTCGGCTTCGATGCCAGAACACCAACCGGGGGAAGGAGTAGGCGTCTCGGAGTTGGGGTGCGGGGGCGGGGCTCCAGGCCCCGCCTCCTTGTTTACTTCGCGGTCAGGACGGGGGCACTGCGCCTGCGCACCCTCGCTCCGCCCCCGCCGTCGGCGCCGAGGGACCGAAACCCTCGTGACTGGAACGCTCGTGGCGCAAGTTCCACCACCCCATTTAGAAAAATAGTGACACCCACTCCCCTTCCAGGACGGACCAGGGCGCAACCACTCTCCCGGGACCGAGGGGAGGCTCCTATCCGGACGTGACAGCACCTTGACCCGGAACAGGAGGGAGCCGGGTCAGCGGGTCCTCGGCCGCGGCTATGGAGGGAGCCGGTTACAGGGTAAGCACGGCGGAGGCCTTCCCTCGCGTCCGTCTAGAGGGGACGCCCCT